CAGGTGGGCGGCTTCGACGGCGCCAACCGGCTGCGCAGCGCGGAGGCCTACAGCCCGGTGGCCAACACGTGGCACACGATCCCCACCATGTTCAACCCGCGCAGCAACTTCGGCATCGAGGTGGTGGACGACCTGCTCTTCGTGGTGGGCGGCTTCAACGGCTTCACCACCACGTTCAACGTGGAGTGCTACGACGAGCGCACCGATGAGTGGTACGACGCGCACGACATGAGCATCTACCGCAGCGCGCTGAGCTGCTGCGTGGTGCCGGGGCTGGCCAACAGGCGTCCACCAGTACGCTGCCCGTGTGAGCCTCTGTAGCTAATAAAGCGCCTAAGCAGTAAGGGTTAACTCTTTTTTAAAAAAATAAATGCAGTGTTGAAACTTGGAGTGCTGGAAAATGTCGGCCTGGGGGCCGTGGGGCAGGAGCCGGTGGTGGGCGGCGCGGCACTGAGTCACTGCACAGGGTGGCTCTAGACAACGCGTTTATTGAAAGCGGACACGGGACACCAGGAGTGGCTGTGACAGGCCAAGGCAGCTTCCAGAACACAGGCAGGCCACGGCCCAGTCTCACGGCTCCACGCGTGGTCCTCAGGCGGGAGACCCCACCCCGGCCCCAGGCAGGTCACGGGAGCGAGGTCGGGCACCTAGAGGACCTAGCAGAGGGCAGAGGTGCTCCGGCCTCACCGGACCGGGGCCTGGGCGCACCGCAGAGATCTGCTCTGCTGCGTGGCTGGCGCTGCAGGAGAGCACTGAGGAGAGCCGTTTTGTTCCCAGGGACCAGAACACAAGTGACACGCGGCAGGCAAAGGGCAGCAGCCAAATGGACTTTCTCGAGGAAGTGACCAGCTGGAGCGAGGAGCTGGCAGGGGGCCGGAGTGGGCTGCCAGATGGCCAGTGCTCGTGTCCACCCAGGGCGGAGACGGGGAGGGGCTGGGACAGCCTCTGCCCTTCAGCCGAAGGGGATTAAGCAGTGAGCACAGGTCCTGCAGCTAACTGACCACTGCATAACTAAGACAAGGCAGCTGCCCTGCGGGGCCCCAGCAGACACTGCCCTCCTTGCCGAGAACCCATGGTCCACACTAAAAAGGCCAGTGGCTTTCAGGGTTTTCGGTCCCGGAAATCCAGACAACAGCAGCTGACTGGGGCAAATGCCTTTCAGGTTTAGTTCCTAGCAGTTATTCCTGAGCTGGCACAGCAGCGTGGGGCCATGGAGCTGCACAAGATGGGTCATGCACACACACGGCTGCAGGGAAGAGGCGCCGCTCAGACACCGGCTCAGGACTGACATTCTCCACTGCCAGGTTTAACTGTGGAGGGAGGCGGAGTCAGATGCGTGGCCACACCCAATGACTGTCGGCTTCAGGTATAGCCCATTCCTCCTCCTAACAAAAAACCCCAAAACAAACCAACAACAAAACAAAACAAAACGAAGATTTGCTTGCATAGACATTAAGCTGTGGTTTTTCTTTCTTTCTTTCTTTCTGAAACAGGGTCTCCTATGTAGCCCAGGCTGGCCTTGAACCCAACGTGTTCCTCCTGCCTCCGCCTCCTGGGTGCTCAGACTGAGGACGTGGCCACCACGCTGAGCAAGCTGTTTTGAACAGCTTAAGTTGCCAAATACAATTGTTTTCATCAGAAAGGAAACCCCGGAGAGCCACTGTCGGCCTGATTATCATAACTGGAACCATTCCAAGCCCTGAAGCTATTATTCCAGCCCTGGATTTCAGAATGTCAGCCTTGAGCAGATTTAATCTGGTTTCTTCCCTTGTTAAAACGTTAGTTGGGACATTTCAGAACTACGAACTACTGATGTGCAGTCACAC